CCCCGCAGCAGGAACCGTCGGAGCGGCGCCGTAGGCAGGTTTCGTTGGCCCCTGTCGGCAGCGACAAACGGAGCCGCAGAGCCACCGCAGGGCGGAAGCGCTCGTCTGCGAGGACGTGGTCGGGCTCCGTGGGCGGAAGCAGCCAGCTCCCAGCGCCGTTTCCGCTGGCCGAGCGGAGGCTAGCCTGCTCTGCGGGCGGCAGGGAGGCGAGCAAGGTGGCGCGGCGCCGCTCCTGCGCGGGCCTCGCGAGGCGTCGCTGCGTCTGCGCCAGCCGAGCGCCCCGCCTCCGAAGCAGTCGCCCAGGTCCGGGGGCAGGCAGCGGCGAACGCCTCGAGGCTCGGCAGCCCGAGCTCGCGGCGCACCTCGGCCAGGCACGCCAGGCAAGAGCCCACGAAGGCGGTTTGGCGGCGCTCCGCGAGGCTTTGCAAGCCGAGCCCCCCGTCAGCCAAGGGGAGGCAAGCCTGCTCGCGCGCCCCCGCGGTCAAAGGCTGCCCAAACACGTCTTGCGGGTGCCCCAGTACCCGGCCGTCGTAGTCGGCGCACAATGCCTCGTTGAGCAGGTGTGCGCACGCGTGGTGCAGGGCAGCCCCGTTCGCAAAGGTGCGCAGGAACGTCAGTTCGTCCTGCGCTCGTCCTCCTCGTCCTCCTTCTCCTCCTCCTCCTCCTCCTCCTTCTCGTCCTCCTCCTCCCCCTCCTCCTCCTCCTTTTCCTCCTCCTCCTCCTCCTCCTCCTCCTCTTCCCCTCCTCCTCCTCCTCCTCCCCCTCCCCCTCCCCCCCCCCTCCCCTCCCTCCCCCGTCCTCCTCCTCCTCCTCCTCCTCCTCCAGCCGCCGCCACGGCCCAGACACCTGCGAGCGGCCCATCCCCACCCACAGTCAACACTGATCTTTGACGTGTGGAACATAGGGCGCATCGGCGGGAACGGGGCCGCTCAGGGCGGCGCCGTGCATACTCACACAGCAGTCCGCTACCGTACCCCCGCCGCGTTGTGTTTTCTCATGTTTCCTCTTACCCTGCTCGCTGTGCCACACCCGTTGCTCCGCCGAGGAAAGCAACAAGAGGATAAGGCACCGCAGTGTGCAGTGGGCGGACTTCATCATCCAAGAGGAGATTTCGATGCAGAAGGCCAACGGCAACGCCGACGGAGCCATCGGAACGGGCAGGGCAGCGCGAGACACGGACTACACGGAGTACCAGCTGCCAAACCAACAATGTATCCAGCACAGGTGGAGGAAAGAGGCTGGCGTCCCGAATCCATGCGGACTGGCAGTACTACTGAATAAGGGACTCAGCGGGAGTGTCCCGAGAATGGGTGCGCCTCCGACGACGAGCGGCGTCACAGGACGGAGTGGCATGATTACAGTCAGTATGAGCACAATAGACGTGGCGTCGTTCCCCATCTTCATGCCACCGAGGGGCACGGCCGTCAACCAGAGCGAGATAGACAAGTGGGGTCACAACAGCCTCCCCATCAATTCTGGCGACTACAACTGCGCTTTTGGAATACGCAGATACACAACAGGGAAGAAGTACATCGAGGCCACCGAGTCTAGCGGTACAGAGGAGCCCGCCCTAGGGAACATCACCAGCCCGCAGAGGAGCGACCTCAAGGATGACAACCACTTGGCGATTCGAGACGCATACATGGGGACAGGGAACGCCTACTACAGAAGCGCCTACACAAGCAACTTAGACCATGTTGATTTGCCTGCGAAAGCCATGTGCAGGGTTCGCCAACCTTACCCCGAGGATTGCTTGGCGCGACGTCTCCAGTTACACGATCCCGCGCACCAGGCCGACCACGTGCCGATTTACATGAATCTGGACGTGCACAGCGCCAAGCCCCACAACAGCAAGCTCACGCCGCATGCCAACCACGACCTGATGATGATCGCTTTCACACGGGACTAGAAACGCCAGGAGCTTTCAAAACAAGAAGAGGAGAAGACCCAGCAGACGGACGAGATGGAGTGGCGCAAAGCCTGGGACCAAGGCAACGCTCAAAAGTGGTGGGACATACTTTCTAACAGTATTCTTGAAGTCAGGCAGGAGACGTTCCCCAGGCAGGAGCAGGACAACATCGGATACGACGAGACCTGGGACGTTGAAAATCGATCGACGCACCGAGCTCCCGGGATTTACGAGTGAAGGGGGGCTCGCAGCACACAGTGCCCATCGAAACTTCCCCAGCCCCGAAGGCGCCCGACGAGCAGCCCGACCTCTGAGCGGTGATGGAGAAGCCGGCGACGACAGCAGCTTCGCAAACGAGCACGTCGGCACGCACGAGACGGGGGAGGAGGGCGAGAGCAGATGCTGCGGAATGACATTGAAGAAGCAGAACAAGTTCGCCCCGCGCACAGGGCTGACAGTATCACAATGGGATGACGGACCGAGCCGACCGCTACAGCTTGGAGGAATAGAGTACGAGTACATTGATTGGCAGGAGTGGATCGCCGACCGCGCCTCCATGCCGCTCACCTACGAGTCATTGCACGCAGACAACTTCGGGGACCAGACTCGCCAGGACCGAGCAGGCCAGAATCGATACCTACGAAGAGCACCCAAACGACGTGCAGGACCAGCACGAGGAGTGATAGCGCAGGCACCATGCATGTGCAGTGACAGGCGATATCACGACAACGAGCACGAACGGAAGTACAACCCAGAGAACTTCAGCAGGCGACATGATGATTTACACGCGCTGATTCGCCTGGAAGGATCAGTCCCACAGAGAACCACACGGTCGCAGTCGTTCTCCCAGGACAAGGGCAATGACAAGCTCGTGAACCAAGGGCAACAAATCCTTCACCGATTCGAAGCGCCACGCGAGTATGGACGAACAGAAGCAACCTCTACCAGATCCATGACCCTCAGCACGAACATGTGTACATGGTGCCGTACAGCGGTTGCGAGTAGAGCAACATGGCTGCGCTACAGGCTCAGGCGACCACAACGACGAAGAGAAAGTGCTGACGCAGAAGACGTCACCCAACAACGAGCAGATGATCAGGCAGCTGTCAGGCAGCCAATGAGACTTTTTTTCGATTTTTTGATTTACGGCGAGTGCTCAGCAGCGACCGCCGCGGAAGCAGCGGACGCGACCTACGCGGAGAAGGCCGGGGAGAAGAACAGCAAGGACCTGGGGACACCGCACCTCCACATCGGCATGGACTTCCACCTGGAGACGGGGCTCAACGACAGGCCCGACGAAACCAACAAGACGATTCTGAAGGAGGATCGCTCGTTGACCTACGTGACGGGCACGCAGGGCTTCGGGGACATCGCCTCGCATATCAAGGTCAAGAAGACCTACGCCGAAGGGGGGGAGCCAGAGAGATGGAAGCCCCAGCCGACGCTCAACAGCCTCGCATGCAGCCCTCGGACACCCTCATGGGAGGACCAGACCAACGCCTCTCGAGAAGGAAGACAGGAGCCGCCCGTCAAGATCAGCCGCACCAAGCAGAATGGGGACCTCAGGAAAGCCGTCGAGGACAAACTCCGAACGGCAGAGGCAGTGCAGATATTCTGAACACCGCCGCTATCAGGTCTCGTGAGGAAAGTACAGGCAGCATTGTGAGTATGTCAGCTGGCGATGGAGGGATAGAGATGACAGAACGCAGAGAGCTAGCCAGGGATAGCAGTCGCAAGGCGATGGGCCGCTGCGACGCACCACCATTCGCGTTGGTTCCTCGTACTTTCTTTTACGTGAGATCGCTAAGCACCTGTCTCGGGGATTTAGGCGCGAAAGGGTGCCTCTCTTTGTTTCCCTCCCTGGTTCCCGAGGCGTTCGCCTGTTTCGATTTGTTCCCTCGTGGGCCTTCTGGTCCGCCGCATCACGGGAACCTAGACCTCAGGACCAGACGCGTGCACAACGACGGAGCGCGCAGCAGCTTTAGATAGAGGAAGTTGGGGGTGGGGGGGAGTGCGGTTGGGGGCGGGGGAGGCGGTGGCGGGAATACTGCTACACTGGGACACGTCCCGAGCCAGGGGCGATTGGCCAGACGGCCCGAAGTCCTTGCCGTTTCCATAGCAATTTTGTTTTCAGGAAGGCCCCGCGCTGAAGCGGGCCGAGAGGCTAAAAAGCCAGGGTCCCGTAGGCGACCCGTCGATCCGCCGATCTGACGTGCCAGCAGCAATTAGGTTTGTATGCAGTCGAACCCCAGACAGCTGCCAAGGCTTCCGACTCCGACTCTTCCTCCTCCTCCTCCTCCTCCTCGCCCCCGGAGGGGTGCCTCGCAGTGTGGGCGGCGCATCGGGGCCCCGGGGGAACTAAAACCCGTTCGGTCGTCCTTCGGGGCGCCGCGGCGGGTGGGGTCGGGCCTTGGGCTGTCGGGCTGTCCCGCTTGGCTGCTCGGGCCAGGGGGGGCAGCGTGACCCTCAGGGCACGGCCTCACCTGCCGCGAAAAAACCACGCATTGGCGGGTGGTGGTGGGCGCTGTTCTCTAAACTTTTGGGGTCCCGTCCGCCCCAGGGTCAGTCTCAGCATTCGGGTCATCTCGCACCACAGAGTGGTCGGGGGAGGCTCACGGATGCGTGCCACCTGGTCCCCCATGGGCAGAGGGACTTGCGGGGGTGTTTCTGGGCTCGAGTAAGTCTCGCAGGGACTCGCCTGCGGCCTTGCGTTTCTTTCGGGTGAACGCTCGGTTTTTTGTTCTGGCCGCTCGGAGGAACTTTTTTGGGCTGTCATCATGCCCGACCGCCCTCAGTCATAGGTGAACGATGTGGCCGCGCGCTCGAGCGCCCCCTGCTCTTGCGCGCTGCTGTTCGAGGACATTCGCTACGCGAAGGCTGTAATTCCTGCAATTCCTCATCCTCTTCCTCATCCCTCTCCTCCTCCTCGTCCTCCTTCTCCTCCTCCTCCTCCTCCTCCTCCTCCTCCTCCCGCTTCTCCTCCTCCTCCGCCTCCTCCTCCTCCTCCTCCTTCTCCTCCTCCTCCTCCTCCTCCTCCTCCTCCTCCTCCTCCTCCTCCTCCCCCTCTTCCTCCTCTCCCGCCCTGTTCGAGTAGCGTCGGCCTGCCGGCGTACAACTGCTCGGTGGTCGTCTTCGCGGGCTCGGTGAAGGTGGGCGTCAGCATTGGCACGCGGAGGATTTTCGCCGCTGGCTTTCGCAGGGGGGAGGGGATGGAGAGAGGAGGGGGGGTGAGGAAGGAGGGATATCGAATAGCATACGTATACGACCGCCCTGCGGGCGATAAGGAGGTTTGGGGGGGATTGAGATCACATGCCCACCCTGACTGACCTCCAGCCTGTCACCTTGATATCATATCTTTCTGTCTCTCTTTGTCTCTCTCTCTCTCGCCCTTTTTCTCTCTCTCTCTCTCGCCCTTTCTCTCTCTATCTATATGTCTCTCTCTCTCTCTCTCTTTTTCTTTCTCTGTTATCTCTCTTTCTCTCTCTCTCTCTCCTTTTCTATCAGAGTCTCCCTCCACCACAGTGATGATCGCGATGACGATGAGATCCCACTATCTACCTTTCCGTCGACCGACCCATCGGTGAATTGATAAATTGGGTTGGGTGGATTAAATTGGGTGGGATAAGATGGGACAAGATGGGTTGGATAAGGTAAGATGGATTGGATTGGACAAGACGGATTAGATATAATAAGCTGGATTGGATAAGAAAGCTATAGAAAGCCCGCCACAGGCGCCGAAACAAATGAATTATGAAATTGGCGACATGCGTTAGCGCCGGGACGCCCGGGACACCCGGGACACCGCACGGCCCAATTGGGACACCTCCCGGCCATTGGCGGACGGGAAACGGACGTTAACTCCTAAGGACACGCGGGACACCCGGGACACCGCCCGGCCCAATTGGGACACCCGCCCCCGCCACCAGCGGACGGGAAACGGACTTTCGCTCCTACTTCGGCTTAGCTACAGGAGGATCACGCGCAGCTGCGCCTCGCCCGCACGCACGACACGAACACGAAACCGAAACCGATTTCCTGGTGGGGGGTCTCCGTTTCACTGCGATCTCACCCCCCAACCTCCGATTACCCCAGCAATTAGAGGACGAGAAGGTAGCGAGACCGCTACCCCGTGCCTCGCTTTCGCCTTTGAGGGCCTCCTGGGAGGATGCTGTTGGCACCGCCGGATTCGCCTCGCGATCCTGGTCAGCACGCGCCCTGGGAGTGGTCCGTGAAGCAGCGGCGTCCGCACCCGAGTGTCCCACGCATATGCTGCCCCAGCGAAGCACGCGGATGGCAGCCGAGGTGCAGAGGCGGGTCGAGGAGCAGGAGGCGGGCGAGCGAACGCGCGCATTCCCAGGTACGCCTCGGGACTCCTAGTCGTGACAGGGGCGGGGGCACGGCCGCGCGCGCGCCGCGGTGCGTCTTTCACCGCGGATCGTGGCCGCCCGGGCCATGCAGGTAGCCGGCAGTGAGGCGAGAGCACGGCCATGTGCATGATATGTTGGCGTCTACGTGGCCGCCCGGGCCAAACATGTAGCCGGCACTGGGGCGAGAGCCCGGCCATGTGCATGATATGTCAGCGTCTATTCTGCACGGGATCGTGGCCGTCGGGACCGAGCACGTAGCCCTCACTGGGGCGAGAGAGGGAGGAAGCGCGACTCGGGAGAAGCCGGCGGGAGCAGAAGCTCTTGGAGGTCCGCGCGTCGTGTCCTGGATCGGCGCCGGGCGCCTCCCGGCGGCGCCTCTCGCTCGCCCTCGACGCGCTCCGCGCGCCAGGGAGAGGGTCCAGCGCCGATGGAGGAAGTCCGCGCGGAGGTTCGGGAAAGTGTGGTTCCGCCATTTGTTTTGATCGTCCAGGACGCCAGGAGAGAGAGAGAGAGAGAGAGAGAGAGAGAGCGGAAGGAGGAAGAGGGATTGGACCTGCTCCTCTCCACTTCTTCCCCACCCTTCCCACCACCCCCCTATCCTCCTGGACGGGTTGGAGGGGAGGAATGGAGGAGGGGGGATTCGAGGAGGCTCGAATCTCGAGGATCGAGGATCGATGATTGAGAATCGATGGGGGGAGAGGAGGTATGATGACATTGCTTTCTTCAAGATCGATGTTCGAGCATCGAGGATTCGACTTGGGGGGGTGGAAAGGGAGACAGGGATAACGGAGATGGGAGGTGCTGGGGGCGAGACTCGAGGTTCGAGGATCGAGGCGCTTATCGTGTCTTAGTTGCTTGCTTTTGGGATGGGGTGGGGGGGTTAGGAGACCTCGGACGGGGAAGGGTGGGGATGGTGATGGCGCTTCTGACCCTGGGGACATGCTGCTGCTGCTGCAGCTGACGGTGCTGCTGAAGATGACGAGGGCGAAGGCGAACCGATGACGATACCGATGACGACGTTGATGTTGTTGATCATGGTGATGATGTTGGTGATGATGCTGGTGATGATGATGATGGTGGTGGTGGTGGTGATGATGATGGTGATGATGATAATGCTGATGATGATGATGCGGCTTATCATGGTGATGATGATGACGATGAAGGTGACGACGACGATGACAATGACGATGACGATGATGATGGCGATGCCGATACCGATGCCGATGCCGTTGGTGATTATGAAGATCATGGTGATGGTAATGATGATGATGAGGAGGAGGATCGTGGTGATGATGATATCATCAGCAGCAGCAAGCAGCATAATGGTGATGGTGATTATGATGATGCTGATGACGATGATTATGGTGGTGACGATGTTGATGTTGATGATGATGATGCTGATGACGGTGATGATGGTGCTGGTGAACATGATGATGTTGATGAGGATGATGACACTGATGGTGATGATGATTATGAGGATGATGGTAGTGGTGGTGGTCATGATGTTAATGGTGATGATGATGATTCTGAGGATGATGGTAGTGGTGGTGGTCATGATGTTGATGGTGATGGTGATGGTGATGGTGATGATGATTGTGGCGATGGCGATGGTGATGATGGTACTGCTGGTTGTAATGGTGATGATAGGAATGGTGATGATGGTGGTGAGAATGACGCTGGTAATGATGAGGGTGGTGATGATAATGGTGATGCTGACGACGATGACGAGGATGAGGATATTGTCCAGTAAACTCATAGGTGGAAACAGAGCGCTCCAGTTCCTACGAAGAGGCCGCGGTCATCACCGAGGCCGTCAACGAGAATGCTGGGGGCTGGCGCCAGCCGACGCCGGCTCCCCATGCGCCTCGAGCCGCGGGGGAGAGGATGATAATGACGTGGAGGAGGAGGGGGAGAAGGAGAGGAGGAGGAGGAGGAGGAGGAGGAGGAGGAGAAGGAGGAGGTTTGAGGAGAGGTTCGAGGAGGAGGAGGAGGACCAGGTCCGAGGAACGATGGGCGATTTGGTCCTCCCCCCTGCCGTTGCCTCGAAGGCTGTGAGGGCTCCGGGAGGAGAAGGTTCGAGGAGGGGTTCGATGAGGAGGAGGAGAAGGAGGAGGAAGAGGAAGAGGAGGAGGAGGAGGAGGAGATGGCGTGACAGGTCCCTGGGCGCGGGGAAGGCCCTGGAACCCTGAAAGCAGCAGAACACCTGCTGGACCCATTTTTTTCTGGCCCCCCTTTTCTCATGCTGATCCTCGCCGTCCGTCTCCTCCTTCTCCTCGTCCTTCTCCTCCTCGTCCTTCTCCTCCTCGTCCTTCTCCTCCTCGTCCTTCTCCTCCTCGTCCTCCTCGTCCTTCTCCTCCTCCTCCGCGTCCTCGTTTCCTTCTCGTATCATTGGACTCCTCCCCCTGCCGCACCCCCCTCCGTGCCGGTGGGGCGAGCCGGGCGTTTCGCCTGGGACTTCCTCACAACATATGATCTTGAAACCTGGAATTCGCAGCAGTTTCGCAGATGGAGGGCGGTCGTTCTCAAAAGGTGGCTCTCGCCTGAGCGCCGCTCAACTTCGTACCAAAAGCTTGCAGTAGCTTCAAGGATGGCGGGCGGGCGGTGTTCAACATGTGGCTCTCGCATTGGCGCCGCGCACAGTCGTTTCAAACGTTCGCAAAAGCTTCGAGGATAGAGGATCGTGCATCTCGCCTTGGTGTCGCGCAGACTCGTCTTAAAACGTGCGCAACAGCTCAGAAGAAGGAGGGTGGCTCCTGTTCAAGATGGGGCTCTCGCATTGGCGCACCGCACATTCGTCTTGAACGTTTGCAGCAGGTTCAAGGGTTCTTATTGTTGAAGTCCCAGGAACACGACTTAAGGATGACAGGACGCAGCAGTCACGTTGATTCGCAGTTTCGAAATCCCAGGAATAGTGTTTCGGGACGGTTGAAGGTTTCCAGACGGCTGCCTTCAAACGGAACACGTTGCGCAATGATGAACATACATCCTGTATGAAGAAGAAACTTGGAGGGAGGGATGCTTGCAATATCGCTGATGCGTCTTGGGTGTACATTGGTCCTGCTCCTCGTCTTCGACGACTGCTTCCTTAACAACGCCGTCGGGCAGGCACGCGAGGCTGGGGAGGCAGTGTAGAGTGGGCTGGACTTGGACCTCGTTCTCACGCTCCGCCTCCTCGACGGTCCCTCTGAGCAGGTGTCTGCCGCCGTTCCCCCTGCGGGTTCGGGCCTCGTCCCATGCGTTCTCGCGCTGGCCCGTGATAGACATCTCTGATGGGCCCATGTTCCACCACCACTACCATAGGTAGGAGAGGGAGGAGGAGTAGGAGGAGGAGGAGGACCTCCTGATCCTCCTCCCCCGTCCTCCACACTGTAGTGGTGGTGGTGGACAAGCTGCCCAGCAGTCTGTGTCCGAGAAGTGCCCAGCCCGATCCCTCCCTCCGAGGATGGAGCGCGGACGCCGGACCAGTTCCCACGGGCCTTCGCGTGGCCAGAGGTGGCAGGCCGCTCCTGACACCTCCATACCTTGGCATCGCTCGGACGTGTGCATTTTTTCCTCGGCGAGGACCATGGAGGAGCATCCTGGATGACTTAGCGAAAAAACACGCGCGAGATCGGAAAATGCACGAGGAATGTACGCCCGACCGATGGCAAGGTACTCGCAGGAAAAAAACTGCATAAACACAATTTTCCGACGGCTCGCGCGGATTTCTGGGATGCGACCGTTCTTTGATCCACTTTTTTCCCAACCATCCTGTGGTGTTGGGTCCTCGTTTTGAAGAGA